GTCTTACTTTGTCACCCTCAGTAGAGTGCTGTGGCATCACAGCTCACAGCAACCTCCAACTCTTACACTTAAGCAATTCTCTTGCCTCAGGCTCCCGAGTAGCTGGGACTACAGGCGCCTGTCACAACGCCCAGTTATTTTTTTGTTGCAGTTTGGCTGGGCCGGGTTCGAACCCACCACCCTTGGTATATGGGGCCAGCGCCCTACTCACTGAGCCACAGGCGCCACCCTTTCTACTTTTTATTCGATTGCCCAAATAATACGTTTATTTTAATGAATCAAACAATCTGAAATTACACATGTGAAAAATAACAGTCTTGCCTTTCTCACTGCCCTGGGATGTCAGTGTTAAAAGCTGATGTGTGTCCTTCCATGTGTTTCTTTTTTTTGCAGTTTTTGGCCAGGGCCGGGTTTGAACCCGCCACCTCCGGTATATGGATCTGGCGCCCTACTCACTGAGCCACAGGCGCCGCCCTCCATGTATTTTTTTATAACAAGCTTCAGCTGATTCCCCTTGTCCTAGCTTTCCACAAACATATCACCTCCTAGGTTGAAGCATACAAAATTGTCATTCTTACAGGTTCCCACTGTGCCTTAATATCAACCCTCAAATGGAAACTGATACTAAATTTTCTGTTTTATACAGATGAGTTTCTTGTTCCTTCTTGGGTTTGCGTTTGCTGCCTCATTTTTGCTGGACACGCTCCACCCCACCCCAATTTTTTTCCGCCTGGATATCTTTTATCTGCCCTTCAAAGATGTGCATCCTTTAGCATCTTAAACTCCTTGTGCATTCACTGTCCAAATCACATATTCTGATGGCCTATAACACAACTTAGCACGTCACTATTTATACAGTGTTTAATACAGTTGTCAGACGTTTCAGGTTTTGTCTCTAGTTGCTTCATGTTCTTCTCCCTTAACCAGACTTAGTTAAGTACCTTGAAAGAAGCGCCATGTTTAACTTACTGGTATTCATTCAAGTGCTAATCTAAAGACATATGCCTGTGGCACAAGCCGCTAAGGCGTCAGCCACATACACCTGAGCTGGTGGGTTTGAATCCAGCCTGGGTCCACCAAACAATGACAACTGTAACCAAAAAATAGCCGGGCATTGTGGCGGGTGTCTGTAGTCTCAGCTACTTGGGAGGCAGAGGCAGGAGAATCACTTGAGCCCAGAAGTCGGAGGTTCTTGTGAGCTGTGATGCCACAGCACTCTACCCAGGGCAAAAGCTTGAGGCTCTGTCTCAGAAAAATAAATAAGTAAATAAAATAAAAAATAAAGACATAGAAAATGTAAAAGTTTGTTGAAGTTTTCATAATACAGAGTCTCTTTTTCTATAAGGTCATTCTGACATTGGTTCACGCTTCAGACTAGAGATTTTCAGGAACAATGCCTTTCCTTGATAATGAATTTTGATCATAGGAGCATTTAACAGAATGGAAATCAGTTATGCAAATGATCTCATCTCCTAGGTCCACTTCCAAAACAAACTTTTCTGACAAAAATTGTGTTACCAAAATTAAGAGTGATTCCCCAGACTACTAACAATACTTATGTTACTTTGCCACAGCGTAATAAGTATTCAGTGATGTGTTATGAAATTTCGATTTAGTCTCCCTGAGTTGTTTTATTTTGAGTAGAAGTCTAATAAAACACTAGTAATCATATTTAGATGATTCCCTGTGTCTGTAGAGCTAATACTAATATTACTTAGATTAATGGTATTTTATCAAAATTTGCAATTACTTCCTACGTATTGTGAAATTTTATTTTTTGGATGGTATTTAAGAGGTTGTGTTCGTGAGTAGATAATATTGGCCTTTAAGGTATTTAAAATAGATTTTCCTGTTTAAGAAAATGATCTCTGATGGAAGTATTTCGGATTGCATGTGAAAACCCCGCACTGTACCCCAGAAGTGCATTAATGTACATAGTTACCATTCAATAAAAAAAAAAAAAGAAAGAAAATGATCTCCATCTAGTGGCCAAATTTTAATATTGCAACATATAAGGAAAAAAGCAAAGGCCCTAGAATCAAGTATTTTCTGACTTAGTAATAAATGTTCTAGTTTTAATACTTAATAGTGTGGCTAAAATGTTAAATGTTTTAATATACTTAGCAACACTTGCCCCAAAACTTATAGTAAAAGGCCTGTGAAAGTTAAGATTTGCTTAATTACATTGGAAAAATTACAATGATACAAAATATTGACTTTTTAAAAATTTAATATTTACTCAGTTGAACTGAGAAAACTAAATCAAAATCAAACTTATGTCTCCTACATTTCTGTTCATGCCTAGCAAGGTGATAGTATTTTGTCTTTTTTATTTCACAATAAGAACACCTTAATATTCAAGGGAAATCAACATGAAGCAGTTTTATATGTATTCACGTTGTTATTAATAGGTCCTCCTTATTCTGAAAAGCTGCCAAGACTATCTTCTTAGAAGAGAAATCTTTTATAATTCTGCTAGACAGACAGAAGGCTTTTATGTTTTCCAGCTCTATATTGAATACCTTCAAAAGCTCTCTTTATTTATTAATTAATTAATTTATTTTGCAAGAGGGTCTGGCTCTGTTGCCCAGGATAGAGTTCAGTGGCATGATCATAGCTCACTGCAACCTTGAACTCCTGGGTTCAAGCGATCCTTCCCCTCAGCTTCCCAAGCAGCTTGGACTACAGGTACACCACCACCACTCTCAGCTAATTTTTCTATTCTTTTGGTAGAGAGCAGGTCTCACTCTTGTTCAGATGGGTCTCAAAATCCTACTGTCAAATCCTCCCATCTTGGCCTTCCAAAGTGCTAGTACAACAGGCGCGAGCCATAGCACCAAGCCCCAAAGCCCTCTTTAAGTATTGTATTACTATTCCATGAAGACTTCTCACATATCCCAGCCTGAATTAATTGCTCATCCTTTATTTTTGTACCTTAGTGTGCTCATAGTAGGTACTTAATTAACTCCTATTTAATTAAACATATCTAAGAAGAGCTTGCCTGTGATTCCTCAATCTATTAAATGGATTGAGGCCCCTCTCCTCTTCTGGCCTTCCTCAGGATTGTCAAAGTCCCACATACAAAAATGCCTATTCAGGGAAAACAGAAACCTCTTGTTTGAGTGTCACAAGCAAATTACTGCTATATATTTATGGTTTCTGTGATTATGCAATAGAGCTGGAAGACCTTCAGGAATAACAGATTATTAAATGCAGTTAGCTCACTGACTTTGGTAAATTAACTTTTCTGGGACCTGGTATCCTTGTCTGTAAAATGAGTCTGTTCAGTGAGGTAGTCTCTCATTGTCCTTCCAGCACCAAGTAAATACATGTGAAGAAAACACAATTCTAAGAAAATTTTAAATTGGAAAACATGCTTATGACAGGTCGGGCTGGAGTATGAGCCTTTCCTCTTCTGTTTATTTGATGGATTGATTTAGAGTTAGTGTTATTCGATAATAGATTGATCCATGATACCTCAAGCCTTATTCTTCTACATTGGCTTCCAATCTTTGGATCATAACTCTATTAATAATTCCAATAAAGAAAATAAAATATGTCTTTAAATGAGTTGGTTAATAGTTTGGATAAAGATTCTAATGGGGAAAAAGTTTATTGACTGCTAAACTTGAACTCATTTGTATTTATTCACTCAACAATTCTTTGAAACATATTTGCCTATTGGGTTATCTTGATCTATCACTTTACTCTCCTAAGGATAATGAGACTTGACTTTATTTTAATACCAGTTGATGTTTCACTAGAAAATCTCTTTGTGGATAGTTTATCTGGATTATAATGACGTTTAGAACTGTGGGGAGAGGGGTGGTATTTCTCTCTCAGTTCTAAAATCGATATTGCTGATCACAGTGCTTCTAATTTATTCAAACGACTTGGTAAAGTTTTTTGACAAGCCATATCAAGTGTCAGTAATACTAACAGGACTCCGATTCTCCATTTACAGAAAGCTCACAAGCTAAGAATGGAGACCAGATGATAAACATTTTCAATTCATTGTAAATTGTGACAAAAGGGAGTGAAAAGTATCTTGGGAGCCTAAATAAAACATAAATAAATACAGGGAATTTCAGAAAGCTCTGGAGTATTAGGCCAGGCTTTCAGGTGAAGGCCAAGTCCTCCAAGGGGAATCTCAGTTAGGCAGGGGACAGGGGGGTTGGGTAGTTAGTGGAAAAGAAGGTTAGACAGGGATAGCATGTGACAGGGAGGTGGTGGTTCAATGACGGCAGCATGAATAGCAATGGAGGAAGGCTGTAAGCTAAGGCTGGGAAGACAATTAATTGTAATTGAGTGCAGATGGTTAAGCCTTTCAGTCTCGCCAAGGAATCTGGATTTCATCCTGAGCACACTCGTGACTTACAGAAGGATTTTAAACTGAACAGTGACGTAGTCAGGTTTGCAAGAATCATAGTTGGTACAGGGTAGAAAAATGGTTTCGAGAGACTGATAGAAAGGCTTTTATAATAACGTTGGTGATAGTTGATGAGAGTCGGTAGTGGGATGGGGAGAAGTAGATAAGCAGAAAGTGCTGGTTGGATGGGTGTAGGGGGCAAAGTGGGGGCAGAAGCCCATTCTTAGGGGACTGACAGCATTAGGCATGTTATGGGCACTTGTGGAACTGAACTCACATATTTAGTGACTTACTATGTATTTGTTATTTTTCAAAAAGGAATTTTGCACGTAGAAGAAATGATACTGAGTTTAGAAATAGCTGTATCTTGTACCTGGTCAGTTAACAACAGTATGGAAAAGCTCAGGAAAAGAATGTGAAGTCAGTGTGTGTGTGTGTGTGTGTGTTTTTTACTTTTGTCTATTTCAGTATCAGTATTACCATTTTTTTTTAGTATTATCTTTTTATAATCATCTGTAAATTTGATTCCTGCTAATTCCACTGTCACTTCCTAAATAGAAGCTAAACGCTTTGCTAAAGCATCAACAGGCAAGTGTGCACAACAACATCATTCCCTCTCCTTTGTTTGCAGTTTTGACGTGGACAATGGCACATCTGTGGGACGAAGTCCCTTGGATCCCATGACCAGCCCAGGCTCTGGGCTGATTCTCCAAGCAAATTTTGTCCACAGTCAACGCCGGGAGTCCTTCCTGTATCGATCCGACAGCGATTATGACCTCTCTCCAAAGTCTATGTCCCGGAACTCCTCCATTGCTAGTGATATGTAAGTAGAAGGGTGGGTGAAGGGAAGCGGGAGGGCCTATAGAAAATCAAGTGAATTTAAATCTAGAGTTGATAATGTAAGAAAACCAATGATTTTTATCCAACTATCTTTCTCTCCTGTAAACTTATAAAAAATAATATAAATAAGCTGTATAAAATGAATGGTAGATTTAACTTGAAGGCACTATCACCCCGGATAACAAGCATTTATTTTCCCAGAAAATACATTATCTGGGAAAAGTGACAATTACATTTTGAATGGAAACTGAAATGTAGTTAGTTTATATTTACGTAGGACTTGATTTTTAGTTACTCAGCTACCTAGGTATTTTCTAATATTTTAAAAAGCGTTAAACTCACTCTGAAAATCCCTGTAATAGTTGAGTAGATAGTATTCTGAATATATTTCAATTGATGTATGTAAAAGTGTTAGGATTGGTTTGCTAGATAATTTGAGGAATTTTTGTGGGGTTTGACATGAATGAGAACAGTCTTTACATGTGAATCACTGGAGGCAAGCACAGAAAATATTAGACAGGCTCGGATGTCATTTAAGACATGACACAGTTTGGAAAATAATTAAAACCGACAAGCAGTTTGCAGATCATAGACGAGCTTTAGCTTATTTTCAGAATACTTTCCACTCGTGTTTACTGTAGGGTTCCTGTTCTTTCTGTCTTCAGGAAGCTTCCAGACAGGTCCTCACACTCACTCAATACCTACACTGTCATTTGTGGCAACTCTGTCTCTGCAGAGAACTGGCCTCCAATTTCCTCCTTTGGATCTGTAGATTTGTCCAGAAACATTCACCCTCTTCTTATGACCCCATCTCAAAAATACATACCAGGTTGTAATTCGTCTTATAGGAATTTGGCTCTGTGAGGGTGCTGGGGGGTCTAGTAACATACCATCAAGGTATTGCAATTGGTCTAAATGGGGGTTCTAGAAATGAACTTATATTTTCCTCATTTCTACAACTCATAGTTCTTGGTTGCTACTTAATTAATGTTGTATTAATGATGTCCCCTCTTCTTCATCCTTGAACTACTTCCTCGTCCCAATGGCCCTGTTTCAAATTATTTTTATCCCACCTTCTTAGGTTTGAAATTCAAGACACTTACTTATTCACACATAATGAAAATGTTTCTTGAGCAACAATGTATTCAAAGCTCCCGAACTATGGGGCAGTGGAGGCCTGGCATTTTAGACTGTTGTAGTAAAATACCATGAACATCTCCTGAGCTATTTACAAAGGGCTATGGGAACATAAGAAGAGAAAGAGAGTTTTCCAGCAAAGGGAAGGGTGTAGAAGGTACCAGGCTAAAGGAACAATATTTGCTAAAGAAAAGACACAGATAATTATGACTCAATTAAGGAATGACAATCTGCTTGATAGGAGTAACAAAACATGGCAAGAGAGAAAGAAAATTCAAGTACAATCTAGGGGGACCCAAGAGACACAGAGGTTTTCAGCTGGGATTTGGCATAATCACATTCTTGTTTTTATTGCATTCTAATTACTCTCTTGAATGATTGCATACTAAAGTGACTATACGGAAATGGTTCATGTCCAAGTTCACAGAAACAAAGCGGGCTAAATATGATGATGATCCAAGAAGTGTCAGTAGAGGGAAGAGGTCAGTCGAGATGCAGGAGGCAAGAGGCTGAGAGAATGCTGTGTGTATGTATTTGTGTGCATGTGGGGGGGGGGCAGCCAGTAGGGAAGGGAAGTAAAAGAGAATGCTAATGTTTTACCCCTGAATGAGTAATATTCGTCAAAATGTGACGAAATATCACAAAAATGTGATATTGACACGGGGAACAAAGGACAGAGTGGACAGGTAACAGGTAATGAATTTGACGTTTACATGATGAGGCTGAAGAAATGAGACAGTTAAAGTTAAACAGTTAAGGCTCGGCACCTGTGGCTCAAGCGGCTAAGGCGCCGGCCACATACACCTAAGGTGGCGGGTTCGAATCCACCCCGGGCTCGCCAAACAACAATGACGGCTGCAACCAAAAAAATAGCCAGGCGTTGTGGCGGGCACCTGTGGTCCCAGCTACTTGGGAGGCAAAAGCAGAAGACTTGCTTGAGCCCAGGAGTTGGAGGTTGCTGTGAGCTGTGGTGCCATAGCACTCTACCCAGGGGGACAGCTTGAGGCTCTGTCTCAAAAAAAAAAAAAAAAGTTAAACAGTTAAAGCAATAATAACAGTTCAGAGAACTCAGAGAAATTAGAAGAATCAATTACCATTTATAATTACAAGGTCTTTGAGTGACAACTGAGTGGAGCCTCTTATTCAGGTAATAGGATTAGGAGCCCCATGGTTTCAGGAATGAATTGAAAGCAGAGATCTGAGCAAGTGCACACAACTGTTCACAACATTCATGAGTAAAGTGGGGGGAGAACTAAGGCTGCCTGAGAGAGAATTAAGTTCAAGAGAGAAGTTTTTTGAATTCGGGATCCTTGAGCTGAGGGAAGGCTCCAGAAGATAGAGAGTAAAATTCCATAAAAAGAAGGGTTAAAAATGAATCTGTAGTTGCTGACAAAAATAGGATCATGAGCTCAAGTAAAGAGACTGTTCTTGGGAAGATAGTGAAGAAAAGGATTGTGTTCTTTAGGAAGAACAAAGAAGAAAGGGAGAAATATAAATTCGGAGATTGAAGGGGAAAATGTTTTGAGATTATTCCCCCAAGGAAATGATCTCTATGTTTTCATTAAAGTAGAAAGCATAGCCAGCAATGACCCAAGGAGACAGGGATGGGGCAGCTTGAGAAGGAGAAAGGCTAAAAGAGCCACTTTGCAGATCAAAAAAGGGAATAGAATAGGGGTGAGTAGAACAGTGAGCAGCCCCATAGACAACGGCAAGATTTTGAATGGGTGGAGGACCACGCTGAACATTACCCAGTCCAACTTCATCAAAGGTGAAACAACTTTGATGTAGACAGAGACACATCAAAGAGAAACTCATGGGGAGTTAGTGGATTCTATTTATATCGCAATGTTTTTTTTTTAATTATAGCAAGTTGATTTCAGGAGACCAGATTGGTTTTCTTCATACCCTCTACTCAAATTAGGAAATGTTAAATACACACATGTATTTTATGAAAAGCCTACATTTGATATTGAAATATTACTTCCGTTTCTAAAGCAAACTTAAAAGGAGGACCTCATTTTTCTCTGTATCTCAAGAGTTTCTCTCTCTCATTAGACTCCCTTGGGAATGATGAGTTCAGGTAGACCTTAACGGAGCTCTGTATGTTGCTGAAAAATAACATGTTGACATGTTCAGCTTTCCCGTCCCCCTGGGTATTGACTTTGGAGGAATAAGGTTTCCGTTGGCATCAACTGACTCCTGAAAGGCATTTTGTATGCCAGAGATTAAGCTTCTGTGGGAAGCAAGGTAAATCTGGAATTAATAATTATTCTTTGATATTCTGATACTGCACGTATCTTCCGCCATAAAGGCTTATGCCTCCTCTTCATCTAACTTCCCTTGTGGCCCTGTGTAAACCTCAGTTTTCTCACTTTACCTAGATCATGATAATGCTACAAAGACTGTCCGATGTCTGTAACTCAGCTGTGCTTTATAGAGAATGACATTACCATATGTTTTAATCACTTGATGATTTTATACTTATTGTTCTAGTTAAGCTTTCCTACTGAGAAGATTCCTGAGAAATTTCGAATACAAACAGTACCAAGTGAAAGTTTGTGATTATCTATTTGAAGAAGCTGTTTAGAAAAACTTTATATGCTCTTTAATTGTTCAATACATTGTGAAAGTAGGAAGGAGAATAATCACTTCCTAGCAGATTGGATGTCATCACCTCACCTTCTATAAATAGATATCAATGAAATAACTGAGGCACAAGGAGAAAGTAAGACTAATATGGGCAGTAACAATCCTAATACACACTAGGTGGGCATATCACCTTTATTTTTCCAAATATTTTGATACCAACTTTCTCAATACCTTATGGTCCTATTGATAGGGACTCTTATGCCATTTTTCAGATTATAAATCCAAGATCCACTGAGCTTAATCTTCTCTTCAAACACAAAATACGTTTTAATCATTTCTAGACCAACACTATTTTGAGAATGCCATTGTAAACAAAGCTCTTTACTGTAGCAAAAACTGCTGAGAAACAAAAGGACTTACTGACCAAAGCCAGTGAAATTACTTAGCACTGCAAAAATTTGGTTAAGAATAAAATAAAAGCTCTGACATGTAATAAAGAAAATGCACAACCAAGTCTTAGAAAATATATATGAGTGTGTCAGACTAGGCTCAACTCAGAACCTAAAAATTAGCACTACAAGCCAGAAGAGAAAGTTCCTGGCAGCTTCTGCTCAGACACCAGTCTATTAAATATAGATGATATAGTATCAACTTAATTCTCTTTTTTTTTTTTTTTTTTTCTGAGACAGAATCTCACTCTGTTGCCCTGGGTAGAATACCTTGGTGTCATAGCTCATAGCAACCTCAAAACTCTTGAGTTCAAGGGATCTTCTTGCCTCAGCCTCCCGAGTACCTGGGACTACATGTGCCCACCACAGTACCTGGCTATTTTTAGAGATGGGTCTCACTTTAGCTCAGGCTGGTCTCCCAACTCCTTAGCTCAGGCAATCCACCCAACTCAGCCTCTTGACTTAATTTTTAAGAAAAATAAGAGAAAAAATGTTAAGAATTAGCATGAATACAATAAATACATGAAAAATAAATATGAACTACCATTGATAGTTAAAAAATTCTTGTAACAGGAGAAACATCTAGGTAACAGAAGGTTGCCCAAGTGATGTCATGAAGAAACATCAAGAAAGTTACAGAATAAACAGACAGTTACATTTTTTACCTCTCAATATTTTAGCTTACGAGTAACAGTTCTATTGTTGCACCTTGTCCAATAACATAGTATTTATATCTGAAAACATACAAAGATATGAAATATTGCAAAAATGAAGAGGAAAATAGCAATGAAAAGAATAATAGAATTTA